CCGCTCTTGGATTTAGTACTTCAGGGCTGGAGCACATGCAAAAATTAAGTCCGTGTCCTGTTGATGACTGGATTTTTTGTTTTTTAAAACAGTTGTCAGGCGTTAGTTTCCAACTCTGACCCTAAACAGGATTACATATGAGAAGGATGAAGTCCCGATTTTAACAGGTAAAACTGTTAAAACCTATTATAGGTTAGAGAAATGAGAGCTAATTTGGAGAGCTTCTACAAAAAAATACCAATTAACTCTATTTTCTAGAAAAAGTTAAAGTACGGAATACATGCCCCTTGACAATACAGGGATTATTACATTATTTGTATTCAAGATGACCTGCTCGATAGCAGTTATGCTTGCTTGGGACTTCACCTTAAAATAAAAAATTAAAAAAAACAAAGCGAGAACAAAACAGACACACCACACACACACACCCCCCAGCTATTCAGAGCCACTACTCTTGCTATAAATATAGCAATATTTATAGGAATATAGGAATAAAGCAAAGTATCTCCACTGAAGTTTAACATCAGCTGTTGCTGTAGCAGCAGAAAGTCATCAATTCCTAGCACAACGAAAAAAAGTTTCCTTCCTCACAAGGGACCTGGGAGAAGTCAGCCAACATCACTCCCTTTTATCAACTACGGGGTGGTCAAACAGTGGTGTATTGCCTATTTCCAGCAGTGTACTGTTCAGCTGGCACATGTCAGACTGAAATGAAAACTGTATCGTTGCATAATTTACAATGACACACTTTTAATGAAGGTCAGTAACTTGTTCTTAGGTTTTGAGTTTCTCACCATATAGGATTGCAAGCCGGAATGCCACTTTAGCTAATGGAACAGACCGTGCTTGGTGCCAGGTCTTGTGAAGACCAGTATATACCATATGGAACCAGACGGAGCTCGTTTTTCACGTTTCGTTTGTTGCAATATCAAATTCTCCCTTTGCAGGGCAAAGGGTCTATAGAAATCTGCATGCATGCTGGCAGGAGAAGTGCCATCAAGTGGCACATCTGAACACTGCTTAAAGCCTCATATTTTATAGGGTGTCATGTTTTCCTGTGTCTTGAATGAGGCCAGACTGAAATGTTACATGCAGGTGACAGAGGGAGAATTAGTCTTTTAGGTGCTGAATGTGACCCCCATTTCTTAGAATGGGGCAGATTACATGGAGCATTTTCATGTACAAGATGTAGTGCTTTCAGACGAAGATGCGCTATGAGCTGGACGGATAATCCTGGATAACCACTAAACTTCGGAAGACTTGGACCTGAATTTTATGTGTGCCCATAATTTGCATCTTACTGCAAATACTCTTCCTGTAAAAAGAGGTGAACAAGAACATTTACCACAGTTGGAGAAGGAATCCTCAGCTTTCCAGTTCTGTCCTATATGAAACCACAACCCAAAGCTACACAAAAAAATACCTCCAACTTGTCTGTAGGCGCTGAGTATTATTGCAACTCTTCTCCCCAAAAGATTCAGTTTTCGGTACATTTTTGAGAAACATTTTGTTATCAGGCAATGAGTTACATAAACCCTTAAGTATTTTGGCTGCATCCTTTCTGTTAATATGTGCTTATTTTCCTTTTTTTTTTTTTTTTTAAAATAGAGTTGTCACTACCCACTTACCCATGAGGTAAGTGCTAGAGAAGATGTATGCTACAGATCTCTTCACACAGAGATGTACCTGTGCTCACTTTCTTGACAGCAGTGGTGGTGGTGTGGTGTTTTTTTGTTTGGTTGGTCGGTTGTTTTTTGTTGTTTTTTTTTTTTTAAACTGGTGGAACTACCTTCACTTGTCCAGCAACAGTAAAACCCATTAAAGGAAGCTTTCACTTCCAAGCATGGATATTTTACTATCAGAATATTACTATTTTTTTAAACATATGTAGAAAGTTATAGATGGTA